GGAATCATGAGCGAGAAAGCAGTTAATCTCATGACAAGTTGACGTATTCTTTAGGAATACTTCCAATTGGTTCATTCGCGATTTAACCTCCGTTTAACCAATCAAAACCTGCCAGCTATGCCTTGTAAGTCATCAGTGCATAGTGATTTTCCGGTTTCTACCCCGGAAGGAAGTTTGTCGAAAAACTGTTTACTCAAGTTCACAACAATTTAAGCTGTAATTGCTAAGCAGAAAGAAAATGAGGCAAACATTAGCTTGTGGCAAAATATTATGCTATAATAGAAAGAGAGCTTAAACAAGAATACAGCCGATTAAATCAACGATTACTTTATATTTTCGAAAAAGATTTCGAATTTGTCGCGTCCTGTTTTCCGAGAATTCAGGAACCGTTACGTAGAAACTGTCAACTGACAAGCTATTTTCGCTGAGGTTGTGCTCTTGAAACTTGAGACTCCTCAATGGAAGGTTAATAACAATTCAGAAATGAGTTAAGGATGACCTTATTTTGTTAGCTGCTTGAAAGTAATAGAATCTTGCGCTTTTATTAAAAGTTTTATGAATGTTGAGCAATTATAAAATGAAATTGAACGTTCAATAAATTGGGTGCTGACTCTATCTGGATTCAGAGTCCAAATATTGATATTTGTTCAGCAGACAAAGTTTTTGACGTTATCTACCGGCGGAATTTGGATGGGAAAAATTCAGCTATATTGGGTGCCATTAACTCCACTAAATTAAATTTCTTTCTGAGGGCACCCTTTGGACAAGATATAAAACTCTCTTAAAATTTGCCATACTAATATATTTTGTAAAGTATGATTTTGATGAAACTTGCTTACTTTAAATTAAACCATGAGATGATAGAGTGCACGTGTGCGGATGGTTTCCTAACAATGTTGTGAAGAGTTAAGCAAGATGCTGTACCAAGGATACAGTGAGCTTTGAAACAGATTTGTATATCATTCACAGCTGACAAAACATAAAGTAATAAGTACTTATATGAAAAGTGTGGATATATGAAATACTTTCTATTTTGGCTGCCCAGACGTTTTCAGCCTCTTATCGAAGAATATCTTGAATTATTTGCAAACCTAATTCTCTTTGAAAACATTTTTAAAAGACTTAGCTCTCTCAAACTGAACTGAAAACATCAGTGACAAATCGCTCGTTATGTCGCTAAATGCGAAGTATGCCCAAAATGAAACTTGCTTACTTTAAAGTAAATCATAACGTAGAATGTTTATGTTTTGCCTACCAGCAATGCCGCGAACCGTAAAGTAAGATAATGTACCAAGGGTACCACAAGCCTTGTCAACAACATTTTTTCAAAGCTGACAACAAAGGACAACAAAGTTACTTAATACGTTCTTTTCTGAAAAGTATAAACATATCCAAATACGTCCTGATTAGATATTTTCGACCTCTCATCGAAGAACATCTGCATACTTTGTTAATCTAAACTCTCTAGGTGATTTGCAAAATCTTGGTTCTATCGACACAAATTATCCTCGAGAAATGGATGACAACTCGGTGAAAGAAGCTCAGTTTTCCAGATCTGTTTACGTTGAGGAATATTAGACTTGCCATCAAAGAAAATCTCACAGGTTGATTCTCCTTAGACTAGGACTCCAGCGCGTACTCTCTAAATCTCTGTTTTAAAACAGATAATTTCGTTTGAAGGTAACGAACACCTAGCCATTTAAAGCTTGTCTTACGAATTTCGGCCGAGAAAAGTCGTTTAAAATATTTCTTCTTATTCTATATGCACGCCTATCAGAAGACGAACTATTTCCTTCGGATACTTCTAGTATGATGTTGACTTAGAAATGGAGTTAATTTGATTTCTTATTTAACTAGTAATTAACATACTATAAACCTACTTCAGACATCCATAAAGCTGATCTCTCCTCCCAACTACTTCTATTGAAGCTCAATGAAACAAAGTTTTCCACGTTTGTTGTACTTTCCGTATGATATTTCACTATATGAAACGGTATACCATGGCTTTAGAAAATAGCTAAGACGCATCTGGGAAACTAAGAAAACTTAATTTGTGGAAATGCATCCTTCAATTTATGCTATGCCACAAAGATTTAAGCAATTGCTAATTACGTGTCAAAAAGTTTGAAAGTTCCATCTAGTATCAGTTGAGTAAACATTTCTAAAATTCCATCTTATATCTTGTCATGACTTAAAGTGTTGAAGAACTCCATCTGGGTGTTCCGACGCTGTGACTGGAATTTTAGAGTCTTACAGTGATCACCAGAACTTAAAACGGGAGTACCATTTGTCCTGGCCAAGCGACAGGTTCTTCAAGAAGTCCCTTGTTTGTTCCTCACCGACATCCACATCTCTGGACAACTGCTTTATAAGCCTCTGGGTCTCCCGCTCGTCTTTTACTTTGGATAGCGTTTCAGCATGACGTTTGGCCACCTCAAGGTATTTGACGCGTTGTTTCCATCCAGGTTTGGCGTCCATTTTCTCGGATTCAATAAGCAGCTCCAGGTACTCTACTTGAGTCAACGGGTTTGGTTTTAGTGCAATTTCATCCAAGCGACGAAGACTTTGTTGAGCCCTCTTGATCATGGTAAGCACCTCAACATGCACTTTCTGGAGTGATACCTCTATTGCTCTCATCATTTGTTCAGATGTGGCTTTCTCCTTGACAGCCTTATGGTACTTCTTCTTCAGGTCTTCTGCTGTTCTAGTCTCAGTGACTGTGCGATATTCGATCAGATAGGGAAGATTCTTGTGTTCTGACCAAAGGCAATTTCGTGGACATATTCTGCATCTACCCTCTTCGTTCATAGCCCAACAGTAAAACTTGTTCGCGTCATCGATAATCCTGCAATTGCTGTGGCATGTTTTGTGGCAGGGACCACAAGTGGTGGTGTGTCGTCCCGTGCCCTCTAAGGAAATGTGAAATGGCTTGACTAAATCAACATTGTACGTGAAATCCTTGTTTGTTTCAATCTCCTTTTCACGTTGTTGGATCACAATTTCTTCCTGACGTATCTCTTCAAGTTTGTTCAGACCCACAGTAATTTGGATGTTCAGGCCCTCCACTAACACATGAAGCTCTTCTCGCTCTTTTAGAACTTCTTTGGTTAGACGAAGGCTAACGCTCTCTGCTTTGGGAAATTCTTGGAAGAATTTTTTGAATGAGACGGAACCCATTTTCCAAAACATTTCGTCGAAGTCCACTTCGCCTGATTCGTTGTTTTCAGCAAAGAGAGCTGAGTTGTTGAACTTGAAGAATTTCTCGCTGTAGTTTGGAATTTTAGCTTCCTTAACTGCCTCTAAGACAGGCGGACGTTGGCCATCGGCAAAAGTTATCATCATGAATATGTTCCTCGAAACGTCATTTCCAAATATCGACAGAATGGAATCAAAGATGTACCTCTGTGTTTGAGTCAGACGTGCCTGGGAGGACTGGATAACAAATCCAATACCATCAAGGTGGTCAATACCATCAGGTGGAGGAATAGAAAATAATTCCTTTATTTGCTCGGTGATTTTCTTGTCTCTCTTTAATCCTTCAGTACCACCAAAGCAAGGAGTGTCGATTATAGTGAAAGCATATGGCACAAGTGAACCTCTCATGGGGTGGAACGTATAAGCAGTTATGCCTTGCGTTTGGCTGTGTGCTTGTGACACTTTGGACTCATCCGTTATGAGCTTGAAACGGAATTCATCTTTCCATTCTACACCAAGAAGGTAGTTGGCCATTCCATTAATCAAGGTCGATTTTCCAGCACCTGTTGCTCCCACCACCATGAACACCTTTTCTGCTTCTCCACGACCGATACGGCACGGTTTTCCGATACTCTGTCTTGCAATCATATCTTTTGGTCGTCTCATTTCTTCCCTCATATGTAGCTTGTAGACTGACGGGGAACCATTTTCAAGCTCATCTAACGTGTATAATAAAGCTTCTGCAAGACGGGGTGGGGCACCAGGGCCCATTGCGCTTGCATTTTGCTGCTTTCTTGCCTTAGGTTTCGATGATGGGAACATCTTTACGAGCATAAATCTCCCAGCGTTCGTTTAGTTCTCTGTTGAAAAAAATAAAAGGGCTTGTTTCAGTAAGGATAGGGAGTCAAGTGACCGTTTATTTAAACAAATGTCCGTCAAAAAGGTAGCCTGCTGTGTTTTTCTTAATAGAGCCCTACGAATAAATAAGCCGAAAGGTAATGCAACACAAATAAGCCGAAAGGTAATGCAACACTTGCTTGCAAAAGATTGCTATTATGTTGGTAAAGAAGGAGCTACGTGCTGCCTCTTTAAACTTGATGGCGCTTTGCTGCGAAAGAAATGAAGTATCGAATAGAGCACCAGGGCGCCCATCAACTTTCCGAAGAGCTAAGATGCTCCTAGATCTTTGTGTAAGTCAGTGATCGAGGAAATCATTCCTCCGATATCTTAAATGCAAATATGTACGGTGGCCCATAGGAGACATGACACATTTTTTTTATAGCGCGATAAATGATAGATTGTCGCGCGATAAATGGAAATTATCGCGCGATAAATGAAAAATTATCGCGCGATAAATGAAGATTATCGCGCGATAAATGGAAATTATCGTGCGATAATATTTATTATTATCGCGTGATAATTTTATTATCGCGCGATAATATTTATTATTAAAAACTGGATCATTGGATAATGCAATTCAAGACTTTTCATTGGCTTAGCCATTATGGTATATGAGCCAATATACCATAAACTACGATATGGTAAGCGTATGCCTAAGCTTAAAATTGAAAGGGAGCTAAAAATTTAATAAAATTTAATAATTTAATGTAGCGTTTTTAATAAAACAATTATTCCACTCGCGTTTGTTGGATATGAGATGATTATAGCCAACTCGGCGCTACGCGCCTCGTTGGCTATCTATCATCTCATATCCAACGCGCGCTCGTGGAATAATTGTTAAATA